GACAGGCAGATGGCCGACTAAATTCAGCGCAGAAAACAGATATACCAGATGACCTTTCTGCAACCTCTCTACATATTTCTCCCTCTCAGCTGATTCTATGCTCAGTTTCCTCCATTCAGGCAGAGGAGGCTGTGGCCACTATTTGCTCAGAGCTGTGCTACTGGTGCTCCAAACTGAGCTGCTGTGTTCATATGGGAAGCAACAGTAAAGGTCATTTCTACAAGTTCAACATTACTGATCAGAATTTTAAGCAATCCCTGTTGCCCACATTTTGCCCTCACAGGCTACAGGTAGCAAAGTGCCCGAGCTGACAGGCACAGTAATTTGTCAGTTGAAGCTCGGTGTTGTTCATATGAAGCGCTTCCCATTGTTATAGGCCTCATGTTAATCAGACTTCTCTGAGTATGAGTGTGTGTGTGTGTCAGTGTGCCCCCAGTAAACCCATCAGCTTTATCATGTCACTGGAAAGCTAATCTAGTCAGCCCCGAAAGTGACTCACCATCTGATGCACTTATACTTGTTTTGGAATACAGCTCATTATATTATTCTGGAAACCAAACAATTCAATGTCACCGGGGGTTTAAAAAAAAGTGAAGGAAGCAGGTTTGGTGTGTGGAAATACATCCTGCTCCTAATTGGACAAGCTCAGTGGGCCATTAGAACTGATATGAACATTTTAATTTATTCTAGTTAAATGTTATGTAGACTGGTCATCCAAGGTCTTTTTGTGTGGACTGACTAAAGCCTGGAGCGCCTTCCTCAAATTCATATACCGTATACACACTATAGTATAAAAAGGCCTGTGTATATACACAGCTGAAATTCCAAATATCTATCACATAACAATTTATGTTCTGGTTGGTTACAAAATTGTTCCTTCCTTTCTTGAACAACCACAGGAACAACCACTTGTGTCTGATATCTGGCCCCTGAATGCAACAGAAGACTGAAACTGGCACAGCAAACTGTTTTGCAGCCACTACTTGTTACGTGATGCTTGTAGAGAAACAGCAGTCAGAGGGATCAGACTCCTACTCTGTCCTGCAGCCTGTTTCCTCTTGGACAGACCTAAAACACAACATTATTCTTTCATCTACACACAAAGTACAAATCAACTTTAAGATATTCAGTTTTATTTTGGACCAACACTGGTAGACCAACAACAGCAGTGCAGCACAGAGGAAATACGTGATAGCTTCATACATGTGTGTTGCTTGATTGTGGTTGACTGTGGCAGTGAATGTTGTTATGCATCCGTCTGCCACACTCCAGCTTCCCTCTTTTTAGGTTTTAGGTCTGTGAACAGCAGGATTATCAAGTGAGACTGTGCTTTTACCAAAACAACCCAGCAAACATTTACTCAACTGAAATAAACCTGAAGCAAAACACTGAAGTCCAACCTGCTGTGCTGTCATTTAGCCTGACCTCTGACCTTTGAGGAATGATCTAAGGAGAAACGCTCTAAGCAAATCAATAAAGTACCACATGCATCATAGTATCAAACTGACTTCAAACTGGAAGGTAAAGTTACTTTGTAAACACTGTAAACCCAGTATTTGGTTTTAATCAAACCTCTGAGTGATAATTAATTCTTCTTTTGTGTTTTGAATAAAGTTGTCTCTTTACAAAATCACATTAGTGGTTTGCACTACCCAGCTGAAATATGCAATACAATGATCAAACTCTTTGGGGTAAAAAGGCAAATTTACATTTATACACTGGAAAACCTGACACGTGGTACAGGTTTTGATCATTTCATGTTAATTCATCTTAGAATTACAGTGTTTTGCAGACCACTAAACTGATAAATTTGAATGAATGAACTACTGAGTTCACTCAGCTCAGTAAATGAAGTTTGTAAAAAAACAAAACCAAAATTAACATACTTCCCAGAATGCATTCTTGGAGAGTTAAAAAACTTCAGAAACTCTTCTTTTTGTATTTTGAAGAGCCCATTCATGGTGCAAACCTTCTCCGTCTTTGTAAAGTAAGCTATTTTAAATAAAGTCGTGGTTGTTTCTTTTCATAATAATGGAAACACTGCAAACCATGATGAAGGTTGGTATTGAGTTCAGTCTCTGCAGCTTACGCTCGCTAGTGTGGAGTGATTTTAGACCGGTTTTGGTACAGTGTATTTCCAGTAGGTGCGGTTCTTAATCTTCTCATCAAATGAAGAACTGAGAGTTAAATAAAATTGTATTTGCTTTAGTTTAAGATATTAATAAAAGTGACTGGGTAAAGCAATAGATATTACAAATCATTTAAAATTAGATCAACCTGGAATATAGTCCACTGAAATTACATTAAATTTCTAAGTGAAATAATAGGGCAAGGAAATTGATATTATAAAGGATTTAAGTTGAATAAACTTGGCATTTAGTCTAGCGAATGTAAAATATCCCCTCAAGTTTTTAAATTAAATTGACTCAAGTTTTCATTGCACATTACTTAATATTTTAAGGCAATCGGTTTCCTCAAGTTTTTTAAGTAAAGTCAACTTATCCGGGTTTACAGTGAATATGTGCATACATTATTTTTACCATCCTTTGTATTCTTACTTAATGTATAAACTACTGTATGTCTTTCGATGATCAAGCATCAGCACTGCAACTTTAATAAAGCCTATTGACAACCTGAAATGCAATTATCCCTGGAGCAGTAGAGACAGCGATATTGACACTGTTTAACAGTTTAGAGAAGGAAAGCTGGGTAGCGCTTTATAGTTTGCCGCTGTCACTCAAAAGGTCAATTACATACTTTTGTTGATATATTTAAATCCTGCCTGGAGACATGATTAAATAGACCGCAAGACTAAGAATAGCCCATCACACCATACAAGACCTCTGGAAGCGGGTGAAAACTCTTCCTCAGCCTGGCTAAACAGCAGCATATTTAACTTTTATTGCCATCCTTTAAATTTGCTGCTCTATCCAGCTGTGACAAACTGCACACTTGTACTTGTGCACATACACTGCTTCAAGATGGCTCTCACTTTTGTCAGCTTAGGAGGGAGAGGACACTCCAGAAGCCTAATTCAACTCTAATGACTCAAACGTGGCAGTATGTGCGTGCGCACGTGTACTCGCGTGGCTACATGCCAGCATGACTTCAGTGTCAATCTGTAAGCCTGTGAGTCATACCACTATTAGGCTGTCTCTGAAGCACAACAACCAGCCATAATCTGCTGGACACTGCACTGTAAAGGCTCTCTGTAAGACAGCTAATAAGTTACACACCAGATCCCAAACTGCAATAAGCCCGACTGAGTCACTATTCCAGGTTACATCATTACCTCACAAGCCACTGACTGTGACCCCAGGGTGGGCTGCAAAACTGCTCTGAATCGTTCGGGACATGATGCAGCCCCAAATCACCTGCAGGGGGCATCTAGAAAAGGCTGGACCTCACCCACCACAATCCTCACCCCTATTTTCTCCTGCCTTTTTAAAAGTATTATTTTAGTCAGCTATGAAAAACACAATAAATCCAAACTGTTGAATCCAAGGCCAGTGGATACATCAATACCATTTTTGAATTTTTCAAAAATTTTCAGATATCATGTCACATGTTGTGTTTTCATAGTTTGTTTGTGTTGCCCTGCAAAGAATGACCAGGCTGATGTCTAAAGGTTGTTTGTCACTGTGTCTTCTAAGGTCAGACCCGAGTTCGCAGTGCAAACAGAACCAGCTAATTACTGCTGCCTTTAATAAGCTCATTCAGAAGAGGAAAACATATTGATCCAGGTACCTGCATGTGCTTGCACGTGTTTAATGTATGTGTGTGCGTGTTATGTTGTCGTGCGTGAGACTACTTGTCTGTGTTGAAAACCAAACGGGCTGCTGGCATGCTCAAAGCTGAAGGACTGGGATTTACATCCAGTTTTTCACAGACAGCACAGTGAGAATGGCCATAATTCTGGTGCTGGGATTTAACTCTGTAACTGGTTCAGCAAACCCGGAAAGAGGCTGCAGCGCGGACGAGAAGCAAAGAGCAGAAAGAACAGAGAAGCAAGAGGCTGGAGCGTTTTCAGCACCGCGGAGAGCTCCGGCGCAATATGCGCTATATCACGGCAGCGTGCGCGACGACCAATCCTCATTTCCCACTCCGCTGGCCGTGACGGAGCTTTGCTGCCGCTGTGCCAACTCTCTGGTGACACTGATAGGATTTTTCCCCCATGAGAGAGCGCTGAAGCAGCTCATTTAACACAATCAGACAAGAAAATCTCATCTTGTTTATGAATTTCTCCCCCGTCATTCCTTTGCATGCTGATGAGTAGCTGAGGGGTGTATGTGCTTTATAAGACACTGACTGTTAATTGACAAAGTGTCCCCTGCGCCCCGCCGAAGGAAATGGCTGAGGGCAGGAGGACCGGCTGAGGAGGAGTAGGAGGTGGGGGGTATTGGGACCGGAAAGCCTTGCCTGAGAGTCCAGCGAGGGATATATGTGCGTGTCTCAGTTATCATTCCAGTCCCTCTGCTGCTTGAGCAAACCTGGCGCATCCAGGCAGAGGAGTCCTACTGGAACCATTTATCAAACACTGCCCTGTTGTTTTCACGCAGGTAGAAGGAGCCGCTGCGGGGTTATATGAGGTTTACAGAGCTGGCATCTGGTCATATGAAACGATTAATCACGCCCTGCGTTGCGCCAGACAATAAGCGACATACAGGCAGTGTAGTTAAACACTGTCACAGACTGTCAGTGGCATCGCCCTGCACCGGAAGACTGCAGCTCAGATATATCTCTCCGACTGTAAATTCTGAACCTCTCTCTCCACTGTTCATCAGTTTCTCCACAGCAACTCGCAAACTAATTGGAAATGAAAGCACGCCACAGCCAACCGCTTTACAGGTTCCATACACTCACACTACTACAGCAAACAGTGACGGATGAAACAGCGTCATGCACCACAACAAACTTGTTAAAAAAAAGAAAAGAAAAGCATTAAGCCTCACAACATTGAAGCCCCCATCCAGCATTAGTATATACAAATTCCACCTTACCTGTGATATTCTGAGGCAAGACGGAAAGAAATAAAATGCGACTAAATATGCCACAGATTTCTTCGCAGCGACGCGTCCGATCTGCGCTCTTTTAGTTCCACTCCTCTCCTGCTTGGCAGGGTTTAAAGGGTTCAGATGAATTACAAGCTGGTGGATCAGTAGCAGCTTTGTTAGGAGCGACGGGTAGCGCGTCCCAACTCTCAGCAGCGGGTTGCCATCCTCCGCCTCCTCCGGCTGGTTTCCTCTCCGCGCTCCGCTCCTGCTCGGCCCTATTTCAACTCTTCTCACTCCGCTCCGCTCCTGACGTCAGCCGCTGCACGCCAAATGCGGTGAGGCTGCATCTGCAGACACATCGCACTGGAAAGCGACACCTGTGTGTGCATGCGTGTGCACGTGTGTGTGGGTGAGTGTGTGTGTGCTTAGACATTAGTGATGGTCAAATGCCGTGCAGACAAAAATAAGATTGTCGGCAGATGATTCACTGTATTTGTTCATCAATTTAAGGATTTTCGACCTTGTTGATTTTACTCTGAAATGTATACATTAAGCAACACATTTAGATTTGTGCTAAAGGTATGTATGAAGTTGAGATAGTTTTTAATGGCAGATGACATGAATATTGCTGTTTTCTGGGATCATCCAGTGAAAACAGTCAAATGTTGTCAAAAGCATCATATCTATTGTTTGTTTGTTTGTTTTGTTTTTGTGGACTGTTTTCCACTCTGAACCTGTAAGAATGTCTCATGAAGTGACTGGCAGCTACATGTATATTACACCTACAGCATCATTAATTGACAAACAAAGCAGTAATGATGTTTACAGAGGCGCTATAGACATGCAGCCCACATGTCAGAGGTACCTGGTTATAAGAAGGTACAACATGATACAACAGTGTGGTACACTTTCCTTCATACTTTTCTCAAAGACAACCTTGAAACACACACAGACACACAAAATCCAATCCTTAGACCATCTGTAGGCCTCTATGATGGCAATGCTCAGATCCATATTATTGGCAAATCCCTATCTGATCTATTCATAAAACCTGGGTAATACACACACATGCTACAGTACAATTTTATTGCAAATTTATTGCAGTTATACTCATTTAGTTGTTGAGTTTAACTACTAACTAATTTTCTCTCTCCTTCTCCTTTTCCACTTGCATTCAAGTTTGAAGAAGAACAACTGCACACGACACAATTGGGTCTACATCCTAAAAGAACACAAAAATGGTGGCACCCCCATCAAAATTGCATGTGGTACTAAAACATTTATGCTCAATGTAACATTTATCAAGACAATGGAAAAAAACTGGTGTTGGAAAAATAAAAATCAAAGAAAAAGAAATGAAGAGGAGGGGGAATAAAATGGAAGACGAGAAAAGTCAAGAAAGGAACTTTACTCATGAAACTGAAATACTTTTAAAAAAGAGAGAAAGTACAGCAGCACAGTCTGCAGTAACCTGGGATTTTTGATAAGATGCAAAATGGCCTTGGAGCACAATGCAGCACATTTAATGCAAACCAATCAAATATTAATCTGCTTACGAGTCATGTTTTTCCTCATCTTTTGCTCTTTTATACTATGAGGACGTTTTCTCTTTTGGTCAAATACAACTCACTTTTAACATATTTACAAAATGCAGCTGTTCAAGGTATGTACTCTCATAATTCTCATATACTGTACTTGTCCTAAACTTATTAAAAATGTGAGGTAAAATAATTCCATTAGTAAATTAGGCTGATGCTGTTCAGAGCAGTGAGTAACCACTGGCTTATTGTCTGCAATATCTGAGAATGATGCAGACAGAAACAACAGAAACAGAAGCAAATCTCCCTCCTGTATAAGGTCTGTATAAGTTTTCTGTGGTAGCATAATTCTGGCTACACAGTCGCTTAGCTCATGTCAGTGCACGTTTCCCGAGATGCAAAATGCTCTAAAGCAGCAAAGCTCCTGACTAAGATCAACATTTTAACATTAGGTTTTGTTCTTTATGTCTTTGTACTGTACACTATACTAGTATAAGCAGCGGCTTGAACTATTAAACGTTATGAATGTGTTTTCTCCTCCATCCTGAAGTTGACTTGCCTGAGGAACATACACTTACTTTTTAATGCTTGAGATGAACTTTATAATACACTTATTTAAAATATGCCCTACACTTTAACGCACGTCTTCATTACACTTTCTTACTTTCCTCAAAAACAACCTGAGAACACACACACAGACACATACGAGGTACACAAAATCCATTCCTTAAACCATCTCTAGGCCACTGTGATGGCAATGCTCAGATCCATATTATTGACAAATGCATATCAGATCTATTCATAAAACCAACAGCTCTCTGGGTAATGCAGAGAGGACTCAGACTGCTGTAGGCATACCCTGAGTGGCAAATCAATCATATCTAAATGGTGCAAATGTGACCCGGCCCTGAGGGGGCTCATATAGACCACATCCCGTGCATTGCATAAGGAACAACAAGAGCAGTTTTCTCACAGCTGCAGCTTGACTTTCACACCAGCAGGTGAGGTTTTGTAGAAGATACAGCAGTCATCATTATCTCTGCCATCATTTGCTCAGGAGTGTTTGTACTAGCAGTCATATGTCAGAAAGATAATATCATCTCCTCTCAACATTAAAGGCACTCAGGCATGTGTCAGCACTAAAAGGTCTCTCTCATGTAGCTGCTCCCTCAGACACAGAAATACCAGGAGACAGAGCCATAACTCTTCTTTATGTCCTGTTCCTCCAGCTCACCACCACCAGTACCGATGTGATTCACACACAGACACACATCTACATCACTTACTGTAGAAGTAGAGGTGGACTGATATTGTGGAGGTACGTAAGCATAACTCAGATCAAGCAGAATCAAGCTGAATTTGTTGCAGGAAACAAAAGGCTTTGTCTCAAGCCACATCTCAGAGGAGACTCTTACCTGACACTGCTTAAGCTAAAAGCTAAAGCTAAAACTAAAAGATACCTTAAAAATTCTAACTTTAAATACTACTTATTGTCACAAACACAAACAAGCAGGCACCACCAATGACACAAATGTACCAACGCAAACACTGATCATACAAATGCACACATGCACACAAACACACACAGATATAAATAACAGCTCTTTATCATCTGGTGCGCTATTGAATAGGGCTGTCAGAGGACTCTGCACTGTATCAGCTGCAGTACTGTTGTTCAATGAAACAACCTGCCACTGGAGAGAGCGAGGCAGTGCAAACAAAGTGTTGTGCTAGCTTCTCTCTGTAGCTTTTTTAGCCAGGGCTTTGGATTTGTTTTGCAGCCTCTCGCTCTCTCTCTCTCATAATGCACACACAAGAGGAAACACAGATAGAAATGCATGCATGCACCCACATACACAGAAACAAGTTAAGGCACTTGCACAGAACTACATTTCTTTCTCTCGGTCCCACGCTCGTGCCCACACACATCTTGTATAATGATCTTTGTTTCTTCCTCCTGCCCCAGCTCCAGTTTGATGGCAGCACAGCCGCCAGGTTCCCCAGATGACCATTGAGATAGAGCTAAAAGATGAAAGCAGCAGTAAGACGCTGGCGATAATGGCGCTACAGCTCTGACTTAGAGCTCATATTTCTCCCTGATGGCTCAGCTGCCTTGCCTCCCCCTGACACCTGCAGGAGTGAGCTGCTTGGAGAAGTTGTTAGTATTAGAGACGCAGAGACACATACAGAGAAACAAGAGCTTATATGAAACATGAACACAGATGTGCATGTGCTTACAAAGACATACAGGAGCTAACTGACTAAATGTTTACTGGCCAAATTCATTTTCTAATCCCCCATTCAAAACATGCATAGTATCCCTTTCAGCAATCAGTGCACTTTCAGTTCATACAATTTCATATTTTCATTATCTGTGTGAAGCAACCAAGTAAATTATGCAAACTAAGTGCAAATGACAGACCAGAGCCAGCTATATTCAAGAAAAAAAAGATTACTGGTGTTTGTAGTTGTGTCCCTAAAGGGAATGTACAAAATTATTGAGGTGAAACAGGGTCAAAACAGAAGGAGGGTCTGTGTTTTGTTGTCTGCATTTCTTTTCAGAGAACAGGGGACAACCTGCAATAAAACTATGGAACTTTCTGTCATCACAGATTTATGTTCAAACCATTCCTCCTTTATGAGATTCATCACAAAGGGATAAAAAAAAATCCAAATATATCTTCAAAATGAAGATGCGTTTGGCCATATCTACCGTTATTTTGCCTTTATGCGCTCAGTCCAGAGAGGTGGTGCAGTGGTTGGCATCACAGCAAGAAGAGTCTTTTTTATGAAGTTTGCATGTTCTCCTTGTGCCTGTGTGGGTTTTCTGGGACTGCTCTGGATTCCTCCCACAGCCCAAAACAGGTTAAGTTGTAGGAAGTTGAGAGAAAAACCGTTAAAATATCACTAAGAGGGATATTTACTAAGGCTTTATAGCAAATTTTTAAGCGCTAAACAGTGAAATTGTGTGTGTTCATATGTACTAAGGGGTCACCATGGGGTTTTGCAGAGGAGAAATGGAAAAAATTGTGTATTTGGTCTCATGCGACATGTATTTTAAGGTGTTCCCATTTAGGAACGCAAAAATCAGGGAGGAGAGAATATACAAACCCCTTCAACACCTGATTTACCACCGCTGCGTCAGAGGGAACTGTGGCTAAAATTGAACGTTAGGAAAAAGCAGCTGTCAGTCATCTGAGATCTCGTTTGAGGAGGGAGAGGCTTTTGTACATTAGTTACTGTTTTACACACAAACAGAGATGGTGCCGAATGATGATAAATCTGTGAAATATCATCAAAGCAGCCAAACAATCTTGTTTTTTAAGTAAATACTGTGTGAGGAGAAGTGTGATACATTAATAATAGCCTGGTGTTTTACCAGACTCTATAGTGCTCAGTGCTGCTTCAAGTACTTGTCTTGTGGTAAACCATGATTTTTCTCTAATTGTTGCTCTGATTTGCTAAATAAACTACAAATTAAGAAGAGAATAAAGTGGGAGTGGATGTTTGCAAAGGTCTTTCACACTGGCAAACAGTGAGACTTGTTCTCTTACATGAGCCACTGTGGAATAGTTCTACTATTTTATACTCACTTTGCTATAGATGTGCAAATAAAACCATTTTAACTGTAATCACAATATTATACTGCAGCATTTACGGGTATATAATTCTGTTTTTCCCCCTCAGATTGTGAAGAGACCTAAAGCCATTTATCCAAGAGGAGCGAGAGAACAGGAGCGGCC